CACACACACACACCCCCACACACACGACACCTGCTCCGAGCCTCTGTTATCAGACTGTGGCCATCAGTAGGACATCCACTGAGGGCTCCCAGACTGTGAGAGGGGCAGGCTAGACTGAGGGAACCCCACTCCCCAGTGCACGAATTTCGTGCACCAGGCCTCTAGTCTATATAATAAGAGCCTAAGTGACCATTACAGCAGTATGACCAGAACAATTAGTCGCTATGATGCACCCTGACCACCAGGGGGCAGACGCTCAATGCAGAGCCAAAACTAGCTCTCCGAAATCCCCTGAGGGGTCCCAGAGGGGAAGTAGGCACACTGCAAAGTTGCTATCATTCCGCAGCTCCTTCATTGAGCATCTGCCCCTTGGTGGTCAGTAAACATTATGCCTACCTGCTGGTCGGCCAGTCAGCTCATCACTTAGCCTTTTATATATATAGACTAGAGGCCCGGTGCACAAAAATTTGTGCACTCAGGAGGGGGGGGCCCTCAGCCCAGCCTGCGCCCATTCACAGTCCAGGACCCCTTGGGGATGTCCAACTGTCAGCTTAGGCCCGCTCCCCACTTATTTATTCATTCATTAATTCAGACATCCTTAGTGCTGCCACAGAGGTGGAAGAGGCTCCTGGAACCACTACTGCGCTGGCCAGCCATGAGCCAGCTTCTGGCTGAGTGGCACTCCCCATATAGAAGTGCACTGACCACCAGGGGCAGCTCCTGCATTGAACATATGACCCCTGGTGGCCAGTGCACATCATAGCAACGGGTCATTCTGCCATTCAGTCAATGTGCATATTAGCTTTTCATTATTATTATATAAGCTGTCCCTATTTCCCCCCTTTTGCCCCCTCTACCCAGCTCTTGCCCCCACTTCTCTCTGGTCATCACCATATTGTTGTCTGTGTCCATGGGTTGTGCATATATTTTCTTTGGCTAATCCCTTCTTTAAATTCATTTCTTTAAGTTTGTATTTTCAGATAAGTGCTTATAACTGCACTATTACATATTTCCTATTATATCATTTAGAATTGATATAATAGGAAATATGTAATAGTGCAGTTATAAGCACTTATCTGAAAATACAAACTTAAAGAAATGAATTTAAAGAAGGGATTAGCCAAAGAAAATATATGCACAACCCATGGACACAGACAACAGTATGGTGATGGCCAGTGAGAAGTGGGGGGCAGGAGCTGGGTAGAGGGGGCAAAATGGGGGAAATAGGGACATCCTATATCCTATCTAATAATAGACAAACATGATAATTAACCGTACTCCCGACACACTTCCCATTGGCTAATCAGGGCGATATGAAAACTAACTGTCAACCAACATGGCGGCCGGCAGCCAGGCAGCTGAAGCGAACAGGAGGCTTGCTTGGTCCCGTGAAGG